TAATTTGAGGTGCCCTATCCTGCCGAAATGAAAACCCTTCATCTTTCTAGTCTTTTCTAGTGCTGTTGCAGTAAGTTTCAGTAAATGGGACCGGTTATCGTAATAATACACACCAAGTGTACAATTATTAAAAATGTGTATATATTTTTCTGGGACACCCTGTATATATTTTGACCTTGCCTGCAAACTTGCAATAAATACGATTACAAGAGTCTTTGACTAAACACTATCTAAACGTTTTCAATTTTGCTTCGGGCATTAGCATTCATGAGAACAACAATAGGACAACAATATCCAAGGACGGGTAGAAAATACAACAATTGCTTAGGTCTTAGTATAATTCCAGGAGTACAAATTATGTGACATGAACACACGTATCTGCGCAGCCCTTGCATTAATTAATAAAGAAGGCTTCTTTGTATAAATAAAAACAATACTATTTATTATGGTGCATTCTGATAGTGGGTTTTGTTTAAAGATTACAGTGCCAAGAATATTTGCAGGGCCAAAGCAAGTAAAAGTACCCTTGGACGAAGAAAATGCCACCTGCCAAGTTAAACTTCATTTCACAAGGAAAGAATATCGGAGTTAATTTTTCAACACACTAAATATATTTTTCCAATAAAAGGCTGTACCCTTAGCGCCATAGCAAATTTAAATACACAGAGATAGCAAACACACCCGCTGAGGAATCAGTGGTGCTGCAGCAGCAGCCAACATTTTCACATTGCCCTTTGAGTGCTTGAGCTTTCTAAATATATCATTATTTGCTTATGCATAGGCCCCTAATAATCTGGACCACGGGCAGGTGTGAAGTAAGATAAAAAAGCCAGTGGAAATAGTGCTGTAATTTGTATGGATCGGAAGAGGAATAAGCTGTCGAAAGCGATTTGTGGCCGGATGAGCACCCCACATCTGCGCCCACTACAAATAGCTGAAACTCTACCTTACATCTTACACAGTTATCGAATTCTCCTTACATCCTCTATATGACCGAGACGGTGAAGGAATAAATTAATCAATCCTGGACCATATAATTCGGCAAGTCTCTGAAATTTCAAAGCAATTTGACATTTTTAATAGTTTAAGATTGAGGAACTAATTAAATTATATGAGATCAGTGTATCCCCATAAATTAACTCAAGTTGCCCATTTATTCTGTATATTTAATGCTTTTACTAGGCTGGAATTTAGACGCACCAAAAGAACAAGTCGGAACAGGTGACAGTTGGGTGGCCTTTTATTAAGCGGTTCGGTACTTGTGTACGTTTGTTTTAAGTCCTTATGCGAAAAATATCTTTGCAACCTCTTAATGTACACCATAAACCCTGCAATGTGTATTTAAAACATGAAACTGTGGATGCATTTAACGTTTTTATCCAGTAGGTTATTTCAGAGAAAAAGTGAGAGATGCTTTAAAAGCTATTCGCACCTGCATATTCAAAAAAACTTGGAAGATAATCATACACTTCACACTTTAAGTTAGCGATTGTTGAAGCCCTGATAATGTTGCCCTCACTCAAGACTACTTTCTACTGTTAATTTGTATTAAGTTTTGTGACACGCTAACTCTTGTCAATAGTGTCTGCGAGCATAATGGGCCTGAGAGTGCCTTCTCATGACTGGCTTCAGACAATTAGACAAGAAACTGCACACAAATATCCAGAGCTGATCTGCTTTCACAGGACTAGTAACGTGCTAGTTCAATGCGATCAGGGTAGCAACACCGAGGGCAACTTTTACCACAATTCAGTTCAATCGTGATACTTGCGAGTTTTTGAAGGTGGTTGCATACTTTAAAATATCGTTAATCAGTCAAAACCTCCAATTATGCTTGAATATGGATAGAATGGTA